GTAATTATTAGGCAAAAGAAATGACACTTTGTGATTTGGGGAATTCTCAGTGTTTCTTTATTGTGAGGAGACTTTAACAGGATTCATGTATTTCTACCTTGTCGAACAGTCATTGTTCTGCAACCAAGAATATGAAAATGTACAGAGGATTTGAATCTTAGGTAGGAGAATGCAGTTGTCCAGACCAGGCCAATTCTGCTGGTATAGTAATGAATGCTTGTCTTTTTAAGGATCTAACTTTTGAGGTGTTTGTAAAGTAGTAGTTTCAAGATACTTTTGGAGGATAGAAGACTTTAATTTTCTTATTATAAAATGAAAGTGTTCAATAAATTGTATGGTCAAGTATGACTGCAATATTTCTGTCTAGGTATGACTAAATAAATAACTAAAAGTTAGATGGATGAAGAAGAGAAGAGCAGTTCAACCTGTTGCTTTGCTTGCTGTTGTTGTTTTTGTATTTGCTTTTTATCTATAACAGGGCCAAAACTTTGATTGAAATCTGATAAGAAATGAGTTGGCCAGACTAACTGATGGGGGAATATTGCAGAAAGTCTTTAAACTCTGGTTGCAGCTTCAACAAAAGTCTAGCTAGGTGCCTCTGTGCTCACACTGTGACCACTTTCCTCTGAGGACATCTGTTCATCTTTAAAATCAAAATGCTGGCTAACAGCTTACTCTTCAATTTCTGTTCCTGTCCTTTAATCTATAAAAGCACTGTCCAGTGATCAGTTGGGAGTCATTTTGCAAAGAGAATTGGGTGTGCACATCTTGAAATTAGACAAACATCCCTCATTAAAAGCTGCAGTCCACTGGTGCTCCATGTCGACAAATGCTTTCTGAGATCGCAGCAGCCTGAGCACATGCTTGCAGCAGCCTGAGTACATGCCATGGCCTGGCATGTCTCCACCCTCTTCATCTGTTCACCAGCTCACTCCGTCTTTAATTTTCTCACTAGAACACAACAGTCTTCCAGTAGGGGTAGCAAGGCCTTCTCTTAACTTGCAGTGGTAATGTTTTCTATTTTATTACAGTCTCTTCAGAGAGGGACTGATTTGCATATTCCCTAACACTTAATTATCCGTGTCACCTTCCTGGTGCCTTGAAAAGAGTTTGCATTTCTTTCCTTCTCAAGCAGACCACCAACAGTTATCCCCCCCTCCATTTTATGCCACAGTCCTTTTTATTATTTTAATGACAAATAATTGGACAGATCTGAGTAATGAGAGTGAGAGCCAAAGGACTGCTGCAAGGGAGATGGCTGTACCTTTCAAGACACTTTTAGTGCTCTCTAAATCAGACAGACAAGTGGAGTAATGATCATTTTGCCATAATGAGACACAATTAAGAATCACTGCTGCAAACGACAGAGAAGTTCATTGAACGGTAACCTCCTTCTCACGTCTCCCTCCCTTTTTTTTTTTTTCTAGATGAGATCAATTGCAACTTAATTGTAGCATCTCTATTTGCTAGGCTATCATTAAGACTCTGTCAGCACATCCAATAAAAATCACACTTAGTCAAGGTGCATTACTCAAGCATGAAACCCAGCTTTATCTTAAAATTTAGGGGGCCATATCTACTTCTAAGTCAGAAAATATAGATTCTCATTGCTAGAAAGGTCTTACAGGGGCTCTGTTTATGATTCATCCTGGAATATGAAGTTTATATCATTTTGGTAGATTCCAAAGCATATGGAATTGTTTAGAATTTCTTATTTTGACATGTGCTGAGACAGTATGCAGAGCTTTTCATAGCAGGGTGCCTTGTGCCACCCTAACTTCCAATTCCATATTTTAGGCAGGACTAACTTAGTATTTATAACAAGTTACCCACTCTATCTATACAACCAACTTAACTTTGACACATAGTCTTTGCCAGTAGTGGGAGAGCTGGCTCAGAGGTCATAAGAGTTGGAGAGCTGGCCCTGCCCCTCATTAGCTGCAACACTCAGAAGAGTGGTTCCTGCACCTCACCTGGAAATCCCAGTAGAGTAGGCCCTGATCTTGTATGTGTGTGAGAGCTGACTCCAAAGGTGTGAAAGCAGGAGAAATATCTCTGCCCCTTGCTCATTGCTACAAGGGATAAACTAGCCAGGACAATTCTGGAGCACTCACCCTGGTGGTGAAGTCAAGGGACAGCTGGTGGTCTGACCAACCCTACAGCTACCCAGGCCCAGAACCAGGGTTATGAGTGGGCTTACCCCAACATCCACCATATCTCTGATCTGCTGGAGAATGTGAACGATCCAGTCCTACAGACCCAAAACTGTAGGATCTCCACTTCACAGGGCTACAACAGGATATCCAAGAGGATTCTCATTGAGGGCCCAGCATCAATAGTGTAAAAGAAACCAGACCTTGAATCAGACCAATGACTCTTTTCAATGAACACTTAAACGAAAAGATATATGGAAAAAAGGGTTTACTGCATGATCCACTGTGTCACACTACAGCATCCTTGAAATAAGATTGAATTTTCCATTTTTTTCTCTTAAATTTTATTTTATTTTGTGGAGGAGGTTGCATAGGCAGAGGGCAGATAAGAAGGGATGGGGACTAAATGGAATTGAGATAAATGTTGTAAAAGACACAAAGTAAATAAAAAGAAATTAAAAAAACAGATGAACAAACAAACAAAATCTCATAATGATATATTTCAGAGGTTAGTGACATTGCTTTTATTTCAAAAAGTAGATTCAAAATCATGGAGAACCAGGGTTCTCTTCAGGCATCTACTCAGTGAACTCATTTCTGCTCCAGAAGGAGCTGTTTTTCCCTAGAAATAATTTTTTTTTATTAAATTTTTTTCTTTTATTCAAAATAGATTTTTTTCTCATATAATATATCCTGATTAAGGGTTCCCTATTCCTTCCAATTACTCCCTACCTTTTTTTCCCTCTGGATCCACCCCCTTTCTGTCACTCATTTGAAAACAAGCAGGCTACTAATGGATAATAATACAATATAATAAATATAAGATAATATAATAATATAAAACAAAACCAAACACAGCAGATCAGACAAAACAAACAGAAAGAAATAATCTCTAGAATAAGAACAAGAAACACGAATAGACATACACTGAAGAAGCCCATAAAAACACTAAACTGGGAGCAATATTATATTCCCAAAGGACCTGTGGAAAGAAAGAAAAAAATAAAACAACTAAAATACCACTGTCAAAGAAAATACTGAATCTAAAAGAAATTCAAGCAAGAAATATCAAGGAAATCTTAGACATTTGAAAAAAAAACAAATATATGAATAATAGAAATAGAAGAAGGAGAAAAACCCCAGGGCAAAGGCATAAAAAATATTTTCAACAAAATCATAGAAGATAATTTCCATAGCCTAAAAGATAGATGCAAATCATAATACAAGAAACATAAGAACACCATAGAGACTGGACCAGAAAAGAAATTCTCTGACCCATGACAATCAAAACACTAAATGTATACAACAAAGAAAGAATATGAAAAGATGCAAGAGAAAAAGACTAACATATGAAGACACACCAGAAAAACGCCTGACTTCTCAATGAAGACTTTAAATGCCAGAAAGGCCTGGGTAGATGTTCTCCATACTCTAAAAGACCACGGTTGACAGACTACTATATCCATAAAAACTTTCAATTGCCAAGGATGGATTTTTGAAGAAAAGACATTCCATGATAAAACCAAATTTAAGCATTTATCTATTTATAAATTCATACCTACAGAAGATGATAGAAGAAAAACTTCAACCTAAAAGAAGTTAACACAATCAAGAAAACAGAAGAAATAAATAATCCCTGACCAGCAAATCAAATGGAGAAAAGCAAACACACACATATACATATATACCATCACCCCTACACCACCAACAACAACAAAAACAAAATAATATGATTATCAAATGCAGCTGACTGATAATTTTCAATATCAATGATCTTATCTCAACCTATAAAGAGACAGATTAACAAAAGGATGTGAAAATAGAATCCATCTTCTGTTGCATCCAATGAATACACCTTAACTTCAAGGATAGAAATTACCTCAGGCTAAAAGGATGGAAAAAGATATTCGAAGCAAATGGACCTAAAAAGTAAGCTAGTGTAGCCATTTAAAAATCTAACAAAAATAGTCTTTTAATAAAAACTAATCAAAAGAGATAGGCAAGGACACTATCAAAGGAAAAATCCACCAGGAGGACACTGTAATCTATGCACAAACACAAGGGCACCTAAATTGGTGAAAGAAGTAACTCCTAGAACTTAAATCACATATTGACCCTCACACACTGGGGATGTGGGTGACTTTAATATCCCACTCTTGCTAATACACAGGTCATTCAGATAAGAGACATGTTGAACTTATCTGATGTCATAGACCAAATAGACCTAACAGATATTTACAAAACACTTCATCCAAACACAAAAGAATATACCTTCTTGGTACCTGGTGGAACTTTCTATAAAATTAAACACACGTGTAACTAGAGTTTTCCTGCCTTGCCCACAGTCAGGACAAATCTCTATCACCCGCCCGTCCCACAACTGCTCAGACCCAACCAAGTAAACACAGAGACTTATATTGCTTACAAACTGTATGGCCATGGCAGGCTTCTTG